TAAACTTTTTCCCCTTCCTTAATTTACCAGGCAAATATTACTGAATATTTGCCATTTTGCAGGGTGCAAGAAGTTTTGGGTTGTGCAGTTTTATTGAATCAAGAAGTCTGTTGCAGAAAAATCTCTCATGGCCAGTACTAGGCCATATGGGTAACTGGAGTCTGTAGGATACAGTTGGGCTGAAGCTGTTCTGACAGTGAAGAAGATTTATCTAAACATTACTCATGTAGGCAGACAGGTGAGATGTGTTTGCTAACTTGAGTGGGGGCTCGAAGAGAACAGCATGGGATCAGAAGTGAAGACGTCAGACCCTGAAGGGCCGTGTAGACGGAACAAAGACTGCGAACTTCGTTGCACACATCGGAAAGTAAAGACATGGCCGTTACCCGTTTTTTATCTTTTGGAAGAACGTAAGTGACCACATGGTCTTGCATTTAGCTTATGGCGACACTTGACGATGAAAGGAGGTGACAGTCTCGAGCATGTTAGGGACAGGACTATGTGACTGATCAGGTCTAGCTGTGTGGAAGGAAGAAGAGTCAGAAACAACTCCCACATTTCTGATCTGGGCAACAGGATGGTTAGTGCTGGCTCTGCACAAAAGGGCAGATTTGGAGGGCTGGGTAGTAACAGTTGGGTCATGCTTTTGTTGAAGTGTCAGAACAAGGCAGCCTGTCTTGAAGCATCTAAAAACACGGGCCTAGGGGAAAGCCTACCCGGAAGGTAGAAATACCGACTCCAGCATATCAGTCTTCACTACTTTCCAGGAATATCACAAGGATGAAGGGAGTATAAAATGACAAGAACAGAGTCCCTGGAACACTACCATTTGAAAGTTATACAAGGAACCCAAAGTAAAAATGAGAGAAAAATTCATTTATTAGCTGTATCTGTGTTCCAAGACACGTACCAAGCTCCATGAGGGCAGGACCTTTGTGTTGCACATGCTTGTGTGCCCAAGCCCTGGAGCAGACTGTGAATGTGCTTTGCGGAGCCATAACATGACCTGAGTGTCAGGAACTACTTTCTGTCTTCACTTTTGGCTTCGCATTTGGCTGGGTGAATACCCTTTCCCTCAGTCTCAACTCACTGTAGTAGCTTTTATGAAAGCAATACACACAATGCACTGTCAGCACTATGAAGACGGGTGAAGTGAAAACATGCAAACACTGGAAATACTCCGAAGGCATCCATTGTGTCAGCTGTCCCAGTGGCTGACTCGCTTTTCAGTGGGGCCAGAAGAGCACAGTAGTGGCATAAAGCCTGTTTTTGAAGCAAAAAGATACCCGGGCCCTGGAGATGATCACTCGTGGCAGGAAGGTAAAATTACAAGTGCTTTGAGCTGAGATTTCATCTTGAGAGGCTCAGTTCATGACTAGATGATGTATACTTGGACCTTGACAAAATAGAAGATGTCTTATTACCTATCATTATGTTTCAGAAATGAACTCCAGCATGCCTGTATTGGGCACTCAGACCTAGTAAAATAAGTACTCACTTCCAGCCTATTAAGACCAATCTATTTTTCAAGTTTAGAGATTTTTCCCACAATGTATATCACAATTCTCTAGTGCCTATCACAGTCTGTATTTGTGTTTTGTCATTTCCTAAACTCCATGAGCATAGGAATGGGCTTGTTTTATTTTCATCCAAATGCCCAGTACATATTTATTAAATGAATCTATAGATGAAATTGATTGCAAAGCTATAGAGAGCAACATTCAGATTTCTAGATTACTACAAAACCACCAGTAAAAGGTAGTGTAAGAACTTCTGCGTGTGAAGCCCTGTTGTGGAAGGAGCTTTCTGTTCCTTTAGATACTCCTGGACCACCGTCCAGCTGTGCAAGCAAAGCGCAAGCCCACAGTTGTCTTGACACACCTGCTGTCAGGAAGACTGTCTTGTTTCTATAGCTCCTGAGAAGGTGGCAAGTCAAAAGTATGTTCCTGGTGCCTCACGTGGGCCTGTCAGTCCCCGGGGTCTACTTGTCCTGCCCCACTGACATTTCACTTGCACTCTGATTCCTCATTTGAGGGTGGCCTTTTGTTTTTATCACGACCCTGTTGGTGTTACAAATGCTATGTGGCCAGCGGTAGAGGACATTTGTAACATGCACAGGGAGTCCCCATCAAGTGGAGCAGTCATGGGACAGCATATGAATGGACTAGAGGAAGGAGTGGACTGCGCCTAGGTAGGCCTTGCTTCAGGCATCTCCTGGCTCATCCATTTTAAACCTGCAAGTGTTCACCTACGTAGGTTAGTATATTAGTGCTGTCACCATGGAACTTAAATATTAGGAAATACACAGCAACAGTAGTGCAGGAAACATAAATAGGAACTAAACAAAGTCAAAACTGCTGTTCTATAGATTTAAATGTCAAGGACCACTTGCTGTGTATTATACAGCGTCCTAATATAATGCATCCTAATCTCAGGATTTTGATTGTCTTCTACAGATCTGAAAAGTTCAGAAATGTTGACTGTTCCCAAGTAAAAGAAGAGCCTAGTGTTTTAGTTTGTGCAAGGGCAGTTTCCAGTACGTGCTTTGGTGATGAGTGGAAGTGCTGTGGAAAGTCTGGCGGAAAAATGCCCTGAAAGATCATCCTGCTCGGCCCTCATTTTAGGTACTTAGGTGTTGGGGGTCACTTTGCCCGCAAGGAGTTTGGCCATTGCTTTCATCAAAATAAACCTAGAACTCAGCCTCTTTCTGCCAGCACTCAGCAGCCACTCACTGCACAGGGATGTGTGTGTTTAACTTCAGCTTCCGTCTGCCTGAGGGGTGGAGCAGGCCGTTGTGTCACTTTCACCTGTTGGCTGTTGTCCTAGGAAGAGCTTAGATGGTAGAGTCAGAGTCCCACTTGTGGGCCACTCATGCTCCACTGAAGAAGCAGGTGTGTGATGTCCCCCCGATCGCCGCCTCTTACTCTTTTATAGGAAGCACAGTACTGCCAAGTTTTCCCAGCCCTGGTCCTCTGAGGTGTCTTTCTCCTTGAAAGCCGTTCTTTGCTAAGAAGATGAAGCCTGGTATGGGAAGTTCAGGCTGCCCTCGTCTTGGCCCAGGCTGTGCTTTCTCTGAAGCCTGTTCCTGGTGCTTGTCCGTTGTAAGGGCTGTAAGGCTGGCATGGGGCCTAGGCTCACTGCCTTGCTATTAAATCTTGCCTTGATTGCTGTGATTTTTATAGAAGAAAAAAGCATTCTCCCCCTGACTTCAGGAACAGTCTTGAGATTGGGCAGGATTTTTTAGTGGTAAGTTTTAGGAAGCAGTTTTCAGTGGCTAATGGGTACAAAGGGAACAAGTGCCTCAGGAAAAAGTGTCCATTTTACCAACCTTTGAGAATTGTTTCCTGACCTCATGCATCGTGCGCTCTGATTCCTGGGCCATGCAGTGCTCCCTCACTTCCTTTCTCCAAGGAGCACTTGGAAACAGAATGTTAACTGGCTATTCTGTTCCTGGGAAATGCCTGCCTTAGGGTGGCTTGAAGCTGAGCAAGCAGAGCTAATCCATGTTTAAATTCCTTGGGCCATGGGAAGTGTCCCTGGGACCTGCCCATTTCCTGTTGGAGTGCTCCACATTTCTCTTTCCATTGAGTCTTACTTAAGAAGCTTTCCTTGGGATAGTCTTCCTGCTTGACCTTGGAGATACTCGGCACAGTTGCCCCCTTCTCCCTTCCTGGAGGTCTCTGCCTGGGCCTGCACACAGCTCTCACTGCCGAGAGCTGTGTGGAGTCTGCCCCACACATCCTGTTCCTGGCTCATGTGGTACCAGCCTAATCATAAAGTGCCTTGCTCCCCCTCCTTTGCCTGTTCTCCACTGTCACCTTCACCACTGCCCTGCTTTCCTCCGCCAACGCAGTGCGAGATTGAACCCACACTGGAGGTGAGCTGCTCCGCCAGCTGCTTGTGGCCTAGCAGCTGAACTGAACTGAACTGAACTGAACGTGTGCTAGCTCTAACCTTTGGAGTTTCGTGTAGCACTTCTTAGAAAAGGCTCCATTAGCTCTATTGGCTTCATGTTTCTCCATAGACACCAGGAAACTGAGTTTCTTTTTCAACAAGTCTTCTTTTCAGTTGAAGGACAGAACTGAACTGTTCTTATTAACTACATACCCTCTCCAAATACAGAAAATGGGTTGTTTTAATGATTGCTAACACTGTCCTCGAACCTCTGACAGTTGCTCTGCTGGTGGCTCCATGAGATGCCTAAGTGGGCCTGAGGGTCCAGTATTTCCCTGACCCCCTGGGGAACTGGCAGTGTTGTGTTAGCAGACCCCTGAGGGTGCTTGATACCTGTGGGTCTTGTAACCACAGGCTCTGAACCCAGGAAGTCGACTCTAGGCTCTCATTCACCTTTTGACAAGTAATGTTCCAGGCCAATGTGCCAAAAAAGAATGAATGAATAAATAAAAGACTTGTTAGACATCTGGCAACTCATGGCTCCCTGAAGGAGTCTCTGTGACATTTTGCTTTTCTCTACCACACTCCCAGACCTGTTACCCTTTTGTAGGCTAAGAGGAGTTGATGTATAAACAGGGCAGGACCTTCGTTGGCACATATCTTGTATTCAAAATCTTAAGGCCCTTGACCATTTGGCTGCAGTCCATTTCCCCATAGAGACCATCCACTGTCCACAGAGAAGATTCCATGATCATTGTGTGGCTGCCTTCTTATGCCTGGAAACATCAGCCATCACTTTCTGTGCTTACATAGTACGTCACATGCTTTCTAACCAGTGGTACCTATTAGACCTGAGGCTAATCAGTGGGAAGTGGGGTCAGGTCTCAGGGAGCAAGTCCATGGAAGCTTGGGGTTCTAGAACAGTCCTTGGTTCATATCTGAACCCAGCATTTACCCCAGATTGTTTGATCACTAAGTTGGCTCAGGGAGGATAAGCTTCCTTCCAGGAAGTGCCAAGTCCTATTAATGAGGTACCTGCAGAGAGCACCTGTGTTCCTTTTTCAGACTAAACACGGGCGTGACTCAACTCTCTTACTTCTGCACAGGTGCTGAGGAAGGGTAACAATCAGAGAAGGTACAGCCCCTTCAAGCCCTTCAGGTAAACCAGATTTCTCTTGTTCATGTAGCTCAGCCACAGTTCAGTATTAATTTACCAAAGATCATCTTTTATTTTCTCAATTATTAAAAATGTCCTCCCAAACTATGGGGATGGGAATGTGAAAACAGTAAGCACACACTTATGTCACCCCATAAACAGTAGTCTCTGCCCTGTAGTAAGTGTAGGGAGAGAGGCATGGACTGAATGAGTTGGGCCCAGGAAAGGGGCACCGTGTGGCAGTCGGCAGAACTCTGGAAGGCTCCCTACGAAGGCAATTCCTTGTGCCTCTCCAGAGTGGCTTTTAAGTCATCGTTGATTCAACTTTGGAGACCATGTGCCTGCCGCAGTCTGAAAGACAACTGTGTCTAAAGTTCAAGTAACATCTCTCCACTTGTGCTGGTGGGACCCTGTGACGCACTTAGTTCCCTAAACGCAGCTCTAATGTCAAGGTGTTTTGACCAAACTAGACGTTTGGTCACATACCACTTTCAGTGAACCACAGGTTTTTGTTTACCAGGGAAAGGGGGAGCTGTTCCCCCACAACTTTTATAATTACAGAGAACCAGTGTCATAGTGAGTTAAGCCGCATGCATAAGTACCTTCCATAACAAGCACAGGTAAGATTGTTTAAATGAAGAGACACCCTAAGGAGACCCAATGAGTCTGATGGTCTTATTTCACCTGTTGTTGTCACATCAGTCTCTTTTCAGTACTGAGTTCTGCTCTTCCTAGTTACAATTCTTGGCTGTTACAACTTCCTAGTGCTACAACTTAAAAGTTTAAAAAAATCATTTTCACCCATTAAAGGACTCAGCAAACTTGTTTGTTTTTGAAGAGAGTCATTGTTACACTATGAGACTAAAGAGTGGACGTAAAGCAAGTGTTAGAACTAGAACTCATTTCTGAAGGCCCAGATGATGCTAGGTGTTCCATTTTGTTTAATCTCCCGTCTCTGAATGGGAGATACTATTATAAAAATTGCAGTAATTGTATGAGATTATAAAGTATCCCCAAAGGAACCACAAAGAATGTATCTACAGGACGTCAAAGGAAAGAAAAAAAGTACCAAAAGAAGAAAATCTGCCAAACACAGAGGCTGTGTTGGATGATATGAAAGGCAAAAATTAGGACTTATACAGAAAACAATGTGAAAACAAGTACTTCAAATGTAAAGGGATTAAATGTTCCTTTCAAAAGGTGTAAATGGAATATTACTTGTTAATGACCTGATATGTTATCTACAAGAGATGAATTGCAGATCTAAAGACAAAAAGGGTGCAAGGATATCTTACATGCAAGTGTAATCAACAGAGAGCTTGTTCAGGTGTGTCTATGTCCTGCATTAAGACCAGAAAAAAAAACTATGTAAAAAAATGATAAAAATGGTCAGTTTACCAAGAAACTATAACATTTCTAAGTATGTACTTTTAGTTATGCTCCCAAATATATGAAGCAACCACTGACAAAACTGAAGGAAAAAATAAACACTACTACAATAATTTAATACTCCAATGTCAATAATGGGTGAAAAGATTAGTAAATCTATCAGTACTACAGACAGCTGCATCTGACATAGAGTATGATCTACTCAGTAACCATTAATACATGTTTTCTCAATTTCAAATATAAAATTGTCCAAGGTAGATGATATGTTAGACCACACGATAAGTCTAAAAATTTTAAAAGAGATCAAAAACTAGGAAATTCACCAATGGGGGAAATTAAACACTGACCAGCAATGTAATAAGAAATTAGAGCTGAAAAGCTCACCAAGTAGGTTGCTTTAGCTTTTTAAACAAGCATAAGCTGTAGGTAACATGAAGATAGTAACAGTGTCCTTTCTGAGAAGCAGAAAGAGAAGAGAATTAAAAATATAAGCAGAGACCAAGGCCTGTGAGACTCCAGTAAGTGTAAGCACACAGAGGGGAGTCTCGGAAAGTCGGATGAATGAAAGGGCAGAAATTTATAGAAATAAGTGTTGGAGACTGAGTCCAGCTAATTACAAGCAGGAACAACAGATTCACGCTGAACCCCATTATACTAGGATTATTGGTTACTAAAGATAAGAATTTCATTAAGAGAAGCTGCTTACTAATGCAAGAGGTTCTCAGTAATTTTAATAGGTGATTTCTGTTCAGAAACTGGAGAGCAGGGTGACATTGAAAGCGCCAAAAGGAGAGCGACAAGACAACGGATTCTGTATTAGGACACATAACCTGTTTTTTAAAGATAAAGGAAAAATAATATTCTCAGATAACAAACCTGTGGAGTTCACTACTAGAAGATCTTCCCTACAAAAAATACTGCAGCGTGCTTCATACTCAAATAAATAGGCATTAGATTCAAAAGTCATATGAAGTTAGTTAATAAACACCAAAGCCTGTATAATATATTTTGATTAATGACTCCCTTAAGGAAACTAATAGAAGCTGTATTAACGTGCACAGTATATATAGTTTCTGACAATGAAATAGGTAGGGAACGGACTGATGAACTTTTGTATACTATTAAAACTTAACCCAGGGATTCAGCTCAGTAGAACAGCACTTGCCTGGCAAATGTGAGGCTGTGAGTTCATTTTTCAATATCAAAATAAACAAAACTTGATACTCCATGGTTAGAAATGTAAGATTAATCCAGGGTAACCATGAAAGAAAAAAAAGTAGGTGTGGAAATAGTACTTGGAAAGAATTGTACACTAAGGAGAGAAACTTTTGAAGACAGTAATGGAGGGGTCTGGAAATGAAAAAAATACAAAACGAAAAACAGCAAAATGATAAAAGTCACTTTTGATAAGTATTCTAAATAAACAGAAACAAACTCTAGCCCTCAATGGAAAACCCACATCAGATCTGACACCAATTTTTAAATTCAGAGTAAAGAAAAATACTTAGTGAAAATAAGATGAGATTAATCATCAGAAAAAATGCAGATTATCAATTATGCACAGAATATTACATAGTGCCAAATCAATATTGAGATACAATGATAAACATTTGAATATAACATGACTTCCAAAACGTATGAATGAAAATGATAAAATTGAAGGGAGAAATAGACATTTTTCACTAGCAGAGACATCCATACCACACTTTCAACAACAGAATTTTTAGTAAATCAGAAAGGAAGTGGAAGACGTAAATGGTGCTGTAAAGTAGGGCATGTGTGAGAGGCCCTCTGGCAGAAGCAGGCTATATTTCAGGGCAGTGGCCATAGACTGTATTTGCCACAAACAAGACCATACAAATTTAAAAATATTGAAACCTTAAAAGTGTCTCCAGGAAGAGTAAAGCTAAAAGCCAAAAAGATGGGCAAGTGAAAATGTTAAAAATGCATAGAAATTGAGCTGCACACTGCGCACATGTGGACAGTGCTGGAGAGCCAAGCCTGCAGCCTGGTCAGTTCTAGGAAAGCACTTTCACTGAGCTACACCGCCAGTCCATGTTTGTTTTGTTTCTGGATTTGGCTGGTGTTGTGTTTCGGGAGCTTTTTGAGACGAGCTCTTGCCATGTAGTGCAGGCTGGCCTTGAGTTCATGGCTGTCCTCCCTCCTCCGCTGCCAGCATGCTGCATTTGTTTGTTTCCGGAGAGGTTGGGATCCTCAGGCTTAAATCCCCTGAGTACCTAGAATTCCAGGCATGTACCACCATGTCTAGCCGTTACACAGCACACTCTTAAATAGCTGCACAAAGCAAGCCAAACCAAACCAGTAGCAGATAGAGATAAATGAAATTAGGAACAGAAAAATCATAGATGACCAACAAGTGAATTTTGAAAGTTACAAACAAAATTAAGAAAACTTTAGATAAACCAAAAGAACAAAAAGGGAGACTACTCAAATAACTTGTCAGAAATTAAAGTGGTGACATTCAAGCAGATCTTGCCAAAGTAAGAATTACAACAGAAAATGATAAATGCTAAGGAACCATGTGAATGATAAAATGTACAAGTTCCAGGAAATACAAAACTTGTCAAAATGGACAAAAGAAGATATAGAAAATTGAGGAGCGTATAAAAGAAAAAAGGTTGAACCAGAAAAACTCCCAAACTTTCAGAAAGTCCAAGACGAGGGAACCTCAGTGGCTTGCTCAGTCAAACACTTAGAGTAATCCTTTTCAAACCCCTTTGGGGAAAAAATAGAGGAAAAATGATAATCCCTAACCTTTCTGTAAGGTTTTAAAAATCAAAGGTAATTAACAGGAAAAGAAACTGGGTCTTTACCCTAATGAATGTAGATGCAAATGTCCTAAGCAAAACACACAGACGTGGAATCAGTGTCATTAGTACACAGCAGTCACTTGGGGCTTTTCTCCAGAAGTTAGGGGAATTCATATGGAATACACTGCCCTCGTGGGGTGGAGAAGAAGCATGCCTTCAGTTGGAAGCAAAATGGGAAATCTTAACACCATTCATGATTAAAACAAAAAGCCACCTGAAAATACAAGGAACTGTCTCAACCCAATAGAAGGCATTTGTGAGAAAAACCTACGAGTAACAACACAACCATAAAAGACCGGAAGAAGAAGTCTGTGTCCACACATGGAAGTGTAGAAGCTGTTTTCCTGACATTGCATGTGGACTGTAAATCTGCAAACCAAGATTCAGATAATTTCTTAAATCTGAATTAACACCATCATATCACTTCATCTGCTGAGGCCAGTTAGAGACCTCGGCACATTTAGCTTTTTAAGTTTTTCTGATCTATGCAAAGAAGAAAATGAAGTTTCTTTGCCAGCTTTTCAGTCCACAAGTGGCAGTATACTATAGACAGGGTATTCTTTCCATTGTCAGCATTGGTCGGGTGGCATACAATGAGGTCAGCTTGGGTTTGAATTTGTATCTCACTCACATGAAAACAGCCCCAGAGTCCGTGAACACATGACTTTAGAAGTGACTCTAAAATTAAAACGGCCCTTCTTGGAAAACTGGAACAAAACATCAGCCACAGCTGCAAGAAACCTTATCAAAAACAATGCAGCCCTTTATGAATGAAGTCATAACAACAACAACAAAAAAAAGGTAGCCCACAAATAAGAAACAGCTCTGAAAACAAAGAGAAAAGTATATAACTTAAAAAATCTTGAAAATCAATGTGAATATATAGGTTCAAAAAGTGAGAGCTACATTTTCAGTTCCACGTGTGTGCAGTAAACTCACCCCACCCACTTCCACATCGAGTAACCACACTTTGTGAACTGCTATTACAGCATTACAACCAGTTTTATAAACTTTACAGTGTAATACTTGTTACTTTTCTGAGGCAAACCAAAAGTATATTTCCTAAAGATTTTGCTGCCTTTACCAGCATTTGATGGAGGATCTTTTATATGTTTATACAAGATAAAAAGAAACCAGATTGTAAATCTTTTTTAAAATCTTAAATCTTGAAATAGGATAACTTAAATTACATTCTTTTAACCAACATGAATGTATTTCTATAAGCATAGATATGTTGAGATAAAGTAAAAAGCCAAAAAAAAAAAAAAAAAAAAAGACTGGAGAACTAAAAGTCCTAAGATCAAGAACAAAATAACAAAATAGAAATGTCCAATTGTACTCCTTATATCAGAGCTGTGCTAGACCAGATGTAGCCAGACCTATTAGAAAACAAAAAAGTGTATTCAAATTGAAAAACAAAAGGCAAAATTATATTGATATATGATGTGATTGATCAGAAAATACATCAAAAGTAGAAAGTTCTAAAATTTTAACTTAAAAATTCCTAGAGCTAATAGGTAAATTCACAAAAGTTCCTGGAGACTACATCAGCATGTAATAGTTGTTTTTCTGCTCACTAGGAATACTTAATCTGAAAGAAATTAAGCAATTCCATTTTTATATGAAGGTTAAAATGCTTATAAATTGGATTATCAAGGAGGCACAAGACTAAATAGTACTAAACACTGATGAAATAAGGTGAAGACCTACACAAGCATGAAGATAATTTGCATCCATGGGATGAAAGACTGTCTTCTTAGCTGTTGTAATTGTCCAAATTGGTCTTCTGATTCAATTTACTCCTTACCAATATCTAAAGTGGACTTTTTCTTTCAAAAATGAAAAATTCAGCCATCCAGTTTATTTGCCATTTAAAGAATCCCCAAGCAGAACACACACAGACATACATACACACACACACACACACACACACACACACACACACACACGGAAAGAAGAACAAATTTATGCCTCCTGGTTTCAAAATTTCTACTAGTAATAAAAATATTATGTTAGGTCTACAGATACACTTGTAAGTCAATGCAATAGAATTGAAAATCCACAATGTAAATACATTTATGGCTAATTGATTTTTTGGTATGAATGCCAAGGCCATTCAACACAGAAAGGTAGTCTCTTCACAATGGTGTTGGGAAACAAATGGATATCCATATGCAAAACAGCATTGTAGCAGCTACTGCACTCTTGGGATCAGGGAAACTCATAATGCTGCATTGATTACCGTAGTACTATGTTCAGAGATCATGCCAGACACATTACCCAGGGCTTCCAGGCAAGCCTATTACTACTGAAGCTTTTTCCCAAGCTAGACTACAAAGACTTCAGTGCACAGATAAAAATGCGTGATCAGAATGATCAAGAACATCTGGACAAATGACATGAAAATGAACGATTCATCTGAAAGAACAGGAAATGCATGAACCACCTAACAAGGGACTCAAAGTGACTTAAAAATTAGCCAACTCAAGAAAATAAAAAAATAATGGAACTCATAAGGGATTAGAGTGATAGATTAACAAAGGAATTGAAATAATATCAAACTCTGGAGCTGCAATGAAAAATGCAATGAAGAACATTAACAGAATTGACCAAGAGAATTGATCAGGCAAAGACTGTGTGAGCTTGCAGCTAAGTTATTTAAAAATGCACAGGTGGAGGAGAAAGGAAGACCGCGGTATGAGAAGACCTTACATTCAGTGAGGCTGCAGGCCAGGGGTAAAGCACGGGCTCTGCACATCCAAAACTCTTACTTCAATTTCTAGTGCATGCACGAGACACACCAAAGCGAAGAAAGACAGTAGTATCACTGGCCAGTAGTCCTAGTAAACATAGATGCAAAATCCTCAGTAAGATGCTATTGAACAACCAATGGCAAATAAATATATGAAAATGACCCATATTCACTGTTACCGAAAGGGACACATCTCAGGGATTCAGACTGCTTAGCATCTGTAAATCCATAAATAATGCATTAACAGTAAAAACCAAAACCATACTGATTGTTTCTATATGCATTAGAAAATTGAATATTGCTTTATGATAAAAACAAATTTGGTACAGAAAGAGTCTGCTTCAATAAAATAGAAGTTGTCACTGATACACAGATCTTATACAACTGTGAAAATCTGAAAGCTTTTTCTCTAAGATGAAGACAAAATATGCCCATTCTCACCACTTCTGTTCACTACAAGTACTAGAAGTCCCATCCAGAGAAATTCAGGAAAAGAAAGATGAAGATTGTCCCTGTTTTCAGATAACATGATCTTGTACTGAAAAACCATAAAGACATCTTTTAAGAAGTTAGAACTCGGGACTGGGGACTTAGCTCAGCAGCATAAGCGCCTGCCTTGCAAGTGTGGAATCCTGAGTTCCATCCCCGGTACCAAAAAAAAAAAAAGTTAGAACTAATGAATGAATTCAGTAAGGCTTCAGGATAGCATAAAACAGTCATGGTCATGTCTATGAACAGCAATCTATATGAAACCAAGGAAACAAGTCCATTTACAATAGCTACAAAAACACTTCACAATAAAAGAAGTAAGTTTCAATAAGAACTATACCTACATTGGTAATTATGAAACATTTGTGAAAGAAACTGCAGAGGATATAAATCAAAAGGTACCCTGTGTTCATAGAGTAGAACAATATTGCTGCAGTATACTCAGAGTGGATTAACTACTTCAGTGTGAGACCCTCATTATGAATCCCCTGGATTACCAAGGGTGAAAATTCCATGGCATTGAACTGGACAGAGTTTGTGGATATGATCTCAAAAATACAAAAAACAAAAGCTAAAAATTTGAAATAAGATTGCATCAAGCTAAAAGGCTTCCATTTACCAAAGATACAAAAACAAAATGGGAGATAGTACTTGCAAACCTGAAATCTAATAAGGGGTTAATGTCAAAAATATATAAGGACTGCAAAAGCAAAAAAAAAAAGAAGAAAGCTAACTTTAAAATGGGTGAAGTACTAGACTAGACTTTCTCAAAATAAGACATAATAAGAAATATTTGAAAAACACATTATCACTAATAAGTAGGGAAAAAATTAAAACCATACTAAGACGTTACTTCACTCCCATCAGACTGATTATTTTAGGTAAGACAGTTGTTGGCAAGGACGCAGACACAACTCTGTGCACATTTGGTGAGAATATGAATGAGTGCAGCCTTATGGAAAATAGTGTGGAGTTTCCTCAAAAAATGTGGAACCAGTATTTGTCCCACCCATTCCACAAGTCTGTATAATTCCAAGGAAAACGAGGTCAGCATGTGAAAGAAAACGAACTTTTATGTTTAAGCAGTGTTCTGCAGAGCTAAGACACAGGCAATCGGTGTCTATCAACAGATGATTTAAAAATGTCGGTTCTGAGGAACATCTGCGGGAGAAGATAGTGATGTCCGATCATCATGTGTCCTCGGGCACCTGGGTGAGTATGGTGCTTAGGGCTTGATTTCAGCTGTGTGCTTGAGATTAGCCCGGCTTTTGGAAAGTTAAATTTTCAGGGCCTCGTTTTATCCATAAAGCCATAGTATTCACAACAGACTTTTAGCAAACATTCATTGAGCACTGTATTTGCCTCCAAGGAGCTTACAGTCAAGGGCCAGGGCAGATAAATCAGTTTACCATTACACTTGAACGTTGTAACCAGCAGGCAGGATTCTGCCAAGCATTGGAAATAGAAAGAGGTGCAGAGGTGTCCCTCGGGTCCTGGACATGCGTGTCATACAGTATTTGCCCTGGCTCCGAGGAGGTGGAGGAGTTAGAGGAAAGCCACAGATGCTTACCGAAGTGACTTCCAAAGAGCAGTGAGCCAAGAGCCTGAAGAGTGTGGCGTGTGGGAAAGGCAGGCAGAGGCAGGTCCCGGAGGCCGCGCGTCTTACTCTGTAGAAGTCAGGTTTTACTTGGGAGCAGTGAAGCACTCCAGGCGGGCTTCACTGTTAATCATAGCCAGAATATACGGGAACGTGGTGGGGCTTGCTGTGAAGTCAAATACAGATAATGGGGAAAACCTGGAAATTCTAAGAAAATCTTCCTGTGTATATGCACAAACACAGTTTTCTGAGTGATTTCAGAGCCTCTGTGAGATTTACAACAGCCTGTTCCTTAATCCCCACAGAAGCAGCAGGATATACTAGCTGTGGGAAGCCACAGTGGCAGTGCTAATGCGATCTCTTCAGAGAGGAGACGCTGAGGGCCGGGCAGTGCGGCTGCGGTGGCAGCAGGCGGGTGCTGCCTCAGTAGTAGGTGCCGGCTGGTTGGTCTCAGTAGTTCAGACTGAGGGGTAACAGAGCTAACTATAGTGGGAAATGTAAAGCAGAATCCCTGTGTTGTGTGGCCATCCAATAGACCACTTAGTTTTCATAAGGAAAACTGCTCACCGACTGCCCAAGCGAGTGGGGAAGTACAAACATTTCCCTTCTTTAGCAAGGAAGCAAGCTTCACTTAGGCTCTGATTTTCTAAGTTTGGGAGGTGATAGATATCAGGAGACTGTCCCAGGGACACATGACATACTCATGCCCCTACTATTGTAAGTTTACCCTTAACTGAAGCTGCTCCACCAGAAGTGTCTGCTATGGTTCTTCATAGATGACATATTGAGTGTGATCTCAAGTGCCGTCATTGGTCCACACGGAAACATGACAGGAGCAGCCCTTTGCACGTAAGGCACACATAAGGGAGTTTGTAAGGACTGAGCCCACTCCAGCACACGCGGATTCGTCCTCATACGTGGAAAGTAGAGATGTCTGACAGCATGTATTTGTGGACAGGGTGTTCGCTTCCCTGATTTTGACTTTTAAAAAGCAACCATTGCCTTTATGATTTATAGACGAGCTTGGGCTTTTGTTTTGTTTGTACTTTTTTCTTTTGAGGGGGATTTTTCTACATAAGCATTTACCTGTGAATAAAATTTCTTTTATTTTTGGCTTTCCAAATTTGCTTGCTTGTTATTTGTCTTGAAATATTGTACAGTGTAGAAATGCTTGTATAACATAATATTTTGCTTCTTAAAAATCTATTTGATCATTATATTTTGTTTTGTTTTTCTTTTAAATAACGTTAACTTCTAGAGTGCATGCAAACAATGATTTTCTTAATAAGGTAGAACGAGAGGTGCTGACCTCAGACTAATTTGAAATTATCCTTATAAAACATGAACTGTAGTTCCTTGTAAGAAGTGGGTTGTGGTTGGTTAGGTCTACATTTTGAGTTTGTTTTTGGTTTGGGACTTGCGGTTTTGATTATGATGAATTTAGTGTCAGAGTTAGGATCAGAATTACAGCCAAGAACTAGATAAAGATCTAACACCAAATATCAGGTCCAGGCCTAAGGCATGGTCAAGGGTTTCACAAGCCCAGGTCAAGGTTGAAGACAAGCATTTACAGTCATATCCCCGGTCATGGCCCAGTATCCATGTCGACAGAGGTTCTGACTAAGGTCCGTTCCTAAGATTGGAGGTCTAAGTTGAAGGTCTGCTTTTAAAATCCAGAGTCCAGGGACAACCTCAGGTGTAAACTGCAGATCAGATCCAGGTATGAGGTACGGTACAGTGATCCTCTGTCCAGTTCCAAAGTGGAGGTTCCACTGAAGTCAAGATTTAAAGTTTTAGATCAGAGACCCAGGCCAGGCTGAAAATACAGGTTCATAGTTTTGGGATCCACTGCACACATTCAGGCTTAAGGTTCAGGTCAATTTTTTTTTCCCTTTTTTCTGGTACCGGGGATTGAACTCACGACCCCCTGCTTGCAAGGCAGAGGCTTATGCCGCTCAGGTCAATTTTTAAGGTTCAGATTCATGAAAAAGGAAATTAGGTCTAATGGAAAGTTCCAGATCATAGACAAGTCTAATTCCAAGGCTAGATTTTGAAGTGAAGAGATCGTATCCAAGATAAAGGTTCAGGCCTGGTGCCAAGTTGTATCTGATTAAGGCTTAAGGTAGAGGTCAGACATCTCCATGCAGACCTACAGTCCAGATCCAGGTGGGAGTGCTAGGTCTGATTTAAGGTTCAAGGAACCGGAAAGCAGAAATGAACACTTACATACAACTTTAGATAAAAAGTGTGTCCTCACAGAGATGGAAAGACCCACTATGGAAATTTTGTTACATTATTGCCATTCTGAGAAAGCTTTTCCAATACTCAAGAAACATTTTCTCTATCAAAAATATTTGTTCCAGACAATGCATGCTTGTAATCTCAGCTGTCAGCAGGCTGAGGCAGGAGGACTGCCATGAATTCAAGGCCAGCCTGGGCTACATAACAAGTTCAAGGCCAGTTTGGAGTGTATAATGGGGCCCAGTCTCCACCACCACCACCCCACCTGTTTTCCCCACTTATGGTCAAAACCAAGCTTGACGTGCTTCCTTTCTTGCACAATTACATAGAATCATGATTTTTGTCCTGAGGCCAATTGTGCCTCAGTTTGCAGGGCAGTAGATTTTCTGAAGGCTCAAAGCACTGTTCTGTTGCATTGTAGGCCTCAGAAGCAGATCACTGCTGATACTCTGATTCCCTGCAGGGTGGTGCTGATAGATTGAGCTCCCATCTCCTGCCTGATGAAAGCAGGCAGAGCGTGTCATTTTTCCTGCTGGAATAGTGTCAGCTGGGCTATCAGGGACCTGAAATTCTATCACCTGCAGTGGTGACAAGTGGATTTCCCCCCAGGGTAGTGTCAGTGGAGTTCAGGTAAAGTTGAGCCTCCATCCCCACCTCGAAGCAATAAGAATTAATGACCAAGGTTTAGTTACCATTCCTCTTCTCTTTAACCTCCTTCAGTGGTGGCGAACCTATGGCACATGTGCTACAGTGGGCTGTTTGTATCACTGAAAACTGAAAGGTTCACCATCACTGCACTGCCTGAGATACACTCTGGTGTCAAAAGGTGTGGTACAAATCTGAGCCTCTAATCTTTCCTGACATGAAATAAGGCAGTCTGGGGTGCACTGCACTGCTCTGCAATGTGAGTGAGACTGAAATTACCCCATCGCGTGCAGGCAACAGACTGGTGCACTGCTTTTGCTGGGGAGGTGTCAGTAAAACGAAGGAGGAAGCTGAACTTCCACCCAACCCAAACAACGAAAACGTGAGTGAGACTCCACATTTTTGCAAGAGTGATGTGGAAGGTGAAATAGTCATAGCTAAATCTGCACAGTATTGGGGGACCTTGGCCTAAACCTCCGTAGGGAGACTGACTGAGACTCTGTTGCATTCAGAGTCACATAAAATCTAACTTGCCCAAGATAGAATCAAAAGTCACTCACCATAGCAAAAATGAGGAAGATCACAACTCGAATAGTAAAAGACATTTTACTATTTTACCAACATCCACATTAATCTGATATTGGAATGATATCACAAAGAATTTTAAGAAGTCTCCATAAAAATGTTATAAAAAAGGAACATGAATTCTCTTGAAATGAATGAAAAATTTTATCAAGGCAATGGAAGTTTCAAAAAGAATGTAACATAGAAATGAAAAAAATAGATAAAAATCTTGATGAATGAACTCAAATAGAGCTGGATGTGGTGGCAAATGCCTATAATCTCAGCACTGCAGAGGCAGAGGCAGGAGAACCGCTGAGTTCAAAGCTAGCCCAGGATACATAGTGAGCTGAAGGCCTGAACTACATAAAGACACACTGTCCCAAAAAGCCAAAAGGCAAAAAAGAAAAAAAAAAAAAAACTCAAATAGAGTGGGGATGACAATGACACAGTGAATGTGAGGTCAGGTTACAAGGATTTACCCAAAGTGAACAACAGTCTGAAGGAAGAGCTGAAAATATTTTCAACATGAACTTTAATGGAAGCCAGAGAGAATGGAGTTCAATTTTTTTTTTTTAATTTTAGAAAAAGAAACCATTTTAAAATATGCTAGAGCCTTCTGTTCTTAACAAGACCTGCCATTCCCAGGTCCACTTCACTGGAGCCTCACCTGCCCTGGGAGAGGAAAGCAGCCACACCAGCTGGCTCGTGCCCACCTAAGAGGAGATACAGTGACGGACACAGGGAATGCACAAACCTGTGAGCTGATTATAGAACTAGTACCCTGGACCTTGCCATTCAGAAAGGAGAGAAAGCTGAATTATAAAAAAGCGTAACCAGGGAAGAACATGGCGGATAGATAGCAGAAGCTTCAGAGGCACTCTGAGCTACCCCGCTTAAAATCCAGGAATAGTGCGGTACGAGGGGTCCTAAGCAAGGCGAGATAACACCCTGCCGACCCAAGGAGTGTACTAAACTAAGAGAAACCAACTGAAATCCAATCCTGATGCTATAACAGGAACAGATAAAATCTCAGCGCGCCACTGGAAGCTGTGATTCGAATTTCCTGCTGCCGCTGCTGCATCCAAATCTGCAGGACAGGGAGAGAGATGCACAAAAGCTCTGAGAGCAGGAATCTGCGAACAGAGTTGAGAGCAGGACTAGCAGGGAGCCCTACATCGACTTGCGGTGAGTGAGGGGAGCGGGGACCCTTTCATAAAGGAGAAGTTCCAGCAAAAGACCTACTGGGACCGGGCATACTTGCCGGAACAGGACGCTGCAGTGTCCTTAGTCGCATATTCCCCTCTCAAGCGGGATTGGTGGGGAGTGCCTGGCCTGCATGACACCGCTGACTAAGACCCAGTAGGCTAGCCCAAACCAGGTCCCAGCGCCTGGAGGTGCACCCTAGCAGTGAAGCCTCAGGTAGGTTGACCTGGAGGAGCGGGTCCAGCAGAGGCTGCCCAGGTCTGTGACTCCCCAGTACACTGCAGTGGGCGGGAACACCTAGCTGGCGCAATTCAAACAAACTGTAACCGACAAAGAGAAAAAAATTGGGCCTCCTACATTCGCTTGTATGGAAGGAACAAAAAGTATGGGAAGTGGAAGCAACAAGAAAGGGTCCTCAGTCCCCAATCCTGAGAACACTGATCCAGGAAAGGGAAACGCAAAGGAAGACAGAAAACATGCAGTATCAGACACGGCACCAATAGACATAAAGTGCTATCTCCAGAGCCTCACAAACGAGTTTTAAAATGAAGTATTTAACGAAATAAAGCAAGATATAAGTAGAATAGTTAGAGAAATGCTAAGCACCACCCAAGAAAAAACAGATGGTGGAATGGAAGAACGGAAAAAAAGGGGAGAATTGTTTAATGGAGAAAATAGAGAAAACAGAATACTTGAAGCAGGTTCAAAGAGATTACCAGGAAACTAAAAACTCTATAGAAAGCTGGCATAACAGCTTGAAAGAGACTAAGGATAGATTATCTGAACTGGAGGCAGATTTGTAATATAGGAGCATGAAATAAAAAACTTCTTTAAAAAAAGCGTAACCGAGACAACAGCAAGCAGAAAAGTGTGGAAGAGAAAAATAGGGACCAAAAAATAGGATGGAGAAAGATACACCATGCTCACACTAATCAAAAGAAAGTGTAATATTAGTACTGTACAGAGCAAACCTTGAAGAGTGATTTATTGATTATTGAGGACATTGTATAATGACAAATACGTCAATACTTAACAGAATAATATTTATGCACCAAACAAAAGCAAAATATGAGTGGCAGAAACTGACAATTGCCTCAGAAGTGGAGGCAGCAGATGTGGAAGGAAGCAAGCCAGCTGTACCACGGCCAAACTTAGCAGCACCTCCAGCCAGCTGGATACAATACCATCAAATGGGTGACATACTCTTTTCAAGACTACATGGGACAGTCACCAGGTGTGTTAGTCTGCTTTCTTTTGTTGTAACAAAATACCTGAGGATGAGCACTTAAGAAGGAAAGAGATATATTTTGATCAATATTTTGGAGGATGGCCAAGTGTCATGGTACATGCCTGTAATCCCAACATTTAGGAGGCTGAAGCAGGATAACTGACACAAATTCAAGGCCAGCGTGGACTACGTAGTGAGTTCAAGGACAGCACAAACAACATAGCGAGACCCTGTCCCAAAAA